TAAATCGATTATATATATATATATATATATATATATATATATATGGGGTTTGCTAACGCGCGTACGTCTGTTTTTCAGTTGGTACATTTTAGCAATGTGTACCGGGTTTTAGTAGACAAAAATATCCTTATATACCATGGATTCTAAGTTCTAAGGTTAAGGGTATTTTAATAATTTTCATTCTCAAAACAAAAAAAAAAAGAACCCCCAAACCCTTACTCACCTCTCTCATGTAAACCCTTTCTCTTTCATCTTTCTCACTCCAATCTTTTCTCTGTCATCCCTACTGTAGCCCCAATTGAAAAAAATCAGAAACACCCTACTATAGCCCCAATTTAAACAATCTTACAAAAAAATGATTTTATAATGAGTTTTGATCTTATAATTTTTGTCTTATTTAATTTTATTCAATTTTCACAAGCATAAAGGAATTGGTAATTGACCTGAAAAAAATCAGAAATACTTGTTGTTAAACAATTTCTTACAAAAAATGACTTAATAATGAGTTTTTATTTTATAATTTTTGTCTTATCTAATTTTCACAAGCATAATGACATCCGAAAGAATTGGTAATTGGCCTGGAGGGTTGTTTTAGAGATGATGATTCAACATATGCAGATGATGAAATTAGAGAAATTAGTGAAGATGGTGAAATTGAAGAAATCTTGAATGAACATTTGCCTCAAGGTGAATATGTGAATGACTCAACTCTTTAGAAAGACAAATTGTTTAAAGGCAAGTGTTTCTGATTTTTTCAATTGGGGCTACAGTAGGGATGACAGAGAAAAGGTTGGAGTGAAAGAGATGAAAGAGAAAGGATTAAGAGGAATGAGAGATGTGAGTAAGGGTTTGGGGGGTTTCTTTTTTTTTTTTTAAGTTTTGAGAATGAAAATTATTAAAATACCCTTAACCTTAAAACTTAGAATTCATGATATATAATGATATATAAAGGTATTTTTGTCTACTAAAATTCGGTACACATTGCTAAAATGTACCAACTGAAAAATAGGCATACGCGCGTTAGTAAACTCCTATATATATATATATATATATAATTTGATATTTAGGATAAACTTTAAAAGTGGACTAATGATAATAGTATAATGGTAAAACAAAGAATAAAAGTCATGATGAAAATATAATTACAAGTTATTTTCAATCTTAATCACAAAATGGAAAAATAAAAAGAAAAATAAGAGACAACATAACTCTTCGGTGGTGTTGGTGAGTTCGAGGTCATCCCAACAAAGGTGGAACCACCATGGCTGCAGCCACAAGCTTTGGAACTGCATGTATTCTAAGAAGAGCAGCTCAGGCATTTGCAGTATCACATTCTCATATCATCAACAGCAATGCCACCTTCTCTTTTCAAAGGAAACTTTCCTCTCATATTCTATCCGTTTCTACTAGTTCAGGTTTATACTTACTTCTTCCGGTTTGAATTTTCCTTTATTTATTGATGCTACCTGTATGTAATCTGATCCTTTTTTACCTTCGCTTGCGCATTATGTTTACCCTCTTAAAAGCTGCAATCTTTATGATATAAGAAATTGTGGGTGTGTGGTTTGACAGAGTGGAGAATTCTAATAATACCCCTTAATGAAGATAAAGATAAAAGAAAGGGGTTTATCGATTGCAGCCACAACAAAGTTAATAACTGTCGTGTTCTGAAAATTTGAAATACCAAATTCTAACAATAAGAAACAATAATTTTTTATTCAATCATTGAAGACACATACTAACTCCCATCTTATTGTGTCTGAAATTGGTAAACCTCTCGTAATCTTATCTTAATCTTCATTACCTGTTGTTTTAATTTTGTGGTACATTATGTTTATAACTCACGTGTATATGAATTTATATTGCTTAATGGACAAAGGGGTTTCATGAATTTTTTGTATGCATGCCGTTTGTAATTTGGCAAGGGTGTTCCTCTTGTTTCACTGATTATATTGAACTTGATATACTGTACGCCTGCTATAGTGAAGGGGCTTTGGTATTGTGTTACAATAGTAGCCAGGGAGCGTTTTAGAGGGGGGAGTGTTTTTTGGCTAGAGACAAGGGGAACCTCTTTGGTGTTTCTAGAGGAGCCTAGCTCTGAGTTGTAGGATTTGTTATCCTTCTGTTTTTCCTTTAACTTGCAAATCATACAGAATGTCAGTGTTTACTTATATTTTCTGCTTTCTTCTTAATTTTGAGGTGTGGATCTGTAACAGGAACTAAGAGAAACATTATCAATGTTGTTGAGGACTGATGTGTTATAAATGAAACTCATAGAATAGTATTGATTAAAGTGCTTGACAGGTCAGTTAACCAAATCAACTAGAGCTGTGATCGGCGTTTTGAAGAAGTGACCTAAAAGGTTTTAGCTGTGATGTTTTTGGCTATCGGGGGGAATATGTACTTGGATGAAAGTTGACGGTTTTGATCGGGCTCAACCTAGTGACGAGTGATAAAAGATTTCTGGAAATGAGTGCTAACGTACATGACTTTGTTGGCTTTTAAAAGTAGGTTTTTTCTTGGTGATGAGAAAACAGTGTAGTGTAGGTTGGTTTGGTGAAGACTGAAGAATGCCAAAACGTGGGTAGGCATGTTGATCTTAGAAAAATACGCTTTCTGTGCTCATGAAAATATTAACTATTGATTACCAGGAAAAGGAGATACGCTGTCGTTGAGGCTATCAAATTAATACTACTTTTCAAGGCAACTTCAGTATTGCCAAGTAGTATTTAAGAAAGTAGATAGGGTTAACGTAACCCTGAGTCGTCTCCCAACGAACACGGAATTGCTTTCGAATATCTGACTCTTATGAATGTTATGCAATGCTTATGAATAAAAATAATGTTTGGAGAATGTTTAAAGAACAAATAAGAAACTTAAAAACAGTTACGATGAAATAGGCTAATTCCACTGTTTTTCCAATATAGATTCATCATCGGTTATTCACGGATAATTGTTCAATTGATTATTGTTTAAGTTTCAAATTAATTAAAGTACATTCTTAATTAATTCGAGGGCGATCATGCATTTAACCAAAGTAAATTCTCAATCAAATGCAAAACATTTCTAGATTATTCACAATAAATTCAACCAAAGTACATTCTCAATCAAATTCTATTGTGTTTAATCATGTCTATTCTTAAATCTCCTAACCAAATTAAAAGCTAATCAATCAAAGTAAATTCTCAATTGATTATAGTTGAAGTTATTACTAATCAATCAAAGTACATTCTCAATTGATAGTAAAAACCATTTAATCATATGAAAGTTCCTAAATTAAATCAAAGTAGATTCTCAATTTAAACCTAGAAACCCTAAAACTCATATAATCAATATGCATGTAGATTCAAACACATTATGATGCAAAAATCTTTGCTTTTAACAAGATAGAGAGATGAAAGACATAGAGAGAACAACTTAAATCAATAATCAAAGTAAACAATTGCATTAACTGAATGTAACCTCAGAATCCGTCATGGAATTACAACAGAATAGTCCTAGATGCTTACCTCTCCATGAATATAATCAATATAATCAATATGCATGTAGATTCAAACACATTATGATGCAAAAATCTTTGCTTTTAACAAGATAGAGAGATGAAAGACATAGAGAGAACAACTTAAATCAATAATCAAAGTAAACAATTGCATTAACTGAATGTAACCTCGGAATCCGTCATGGAATTACAACAGAATAGCCCTAGATGCTTACCTCTCCATGAATGGAGTTGAATACAAGATGAAAGAAAAGTGAGAGGAGTATGAGAGAATGAATGAATTAAGTGAAGTCCCCTTTTTCTGCCTCCCTTGGGTCTCTTTATATAGGCTTGATTGGGCTTGGACTTTGAATAGTTTGTTGATAAGATATTTTCTGTTGATATATTATATCTTTCAAATATTCATTAGATTAAATCAGTTTTAAAGAATATTTGATAGATATTATCTCAATTATCTTATATCCTATATCTTCCAAATAACTAAAAGATTTAGATAATGATAAAATTATTTGGAAGATATTTTCTGTTGATATTCCCAAATTAAATTCAACAACTGAATTTTATCTTTTAGATTTTCTGACTTTCCAAAATTGCACAAATACCCTAAAATTTCCTCTATCTGCACTTTAGCCCCTTCTGATTTTTCCAAATAAAATCTGATTTTGGGTCTTGAATTGCCATTTGGACCAATAAAACTTATATTCTCAGCTGCACAAATAAACATTAGAACATCCAAGAATAATTTATGCACTAAAACTCACTTTTTACGTCTCTTTATTTCCCAAACCCAATAATTCCAATCATCACAAATTCACTTAAAATCAACCATTTAAGCACAATTATCCCATCAAAAATTTGAATTTTAAAGCATAAATGTGGACATAAATATGCACTCATCAAAAGGCTTCGGGACAAGGAGTGTTAAGTACTTGCGTTTAGTTTAAGGGGAAATTGTTGAGAATTAAATTGTCACAGGAATGTGGGTTTGAGTGGACTAGTGAAGTAGTTCTTGTGTGGATATTAATGAACCAGGTAAGGAGTGTATAATCTGGAAGGACTTTTGAACATAATGCCTAAAACTTTTGAATTGAGACAAAGTGATGGTCCATGGCAGTGTTTTCAATGTTATGTCCACTGAAATATATATCCCACTTGTTTTTGATTCCAACTTCTGGCTCAACATTGTAGCAATCTCCATATGTTGCTACCGATGATCTGATTCTTTTCTTGAGAAACTGCGGCAATTTGGTATAAGGTTGTTTGTTCTAACTAATGTCATCTAGAGTACTTATTGGTGTCAGTGGTAATGTACATGTCAGATATTCTAGTAATGGTTTTGACTAGATAACGTGCATTATTAAATCCTGTAAATGCCCCTACTCTTAAGTACTAACCAATTTTAAGGTATGATTATTGATTGATTAGTGCTTAGAAAATAGGTGTACAGGGTGATAACAAAGAAATATTCATGACTTTTGTTGGAAGTCCCACGTCGACTAGAGATAAGGTCAATTTAGAATATATAAGTGGGTGCAAACCTTACCTTACAAGCCGGTTTTGTGGGGTTGAGTTAAGCTTAAAGTCCACTTCTTAACATGGTATCAGAGCTAGGTTAGAACCTATCCTAACGATATTTTGTTGTTTGTTGGGCATATTGTTCCGCCTATTATCGGGCCATTATCAGACATCAATGTCTAGTCTCACGCTCGAGATGTATATACCTCGCGTGAGAGGGTGTGTTGGAAGTTCCACATCGACTAGAGATAAGACCAATTTAAAATATATAAGTTGATGCAAACCTCATTTTACAACTTCTTTTGCTACTTTTGAGCTGCTGGTTTAGTAAAGTATGCATTATGTGGGCTCTCAATCTTGATCCAGTTTCCATTTTTAATGTTTTTTGAATTGCAGCTTCAGGTGTAAGTCAAGCAGTTCAAGCTTTAAAGGGAGAAGTTGACGTGCTAATCAAGGGAGTAGGAGAAAGAAATGTAGCAAAAGAAGTAAAACATATTCTTGAGATGGTACTTTCTTGTTTTTTCCTGGTCTCTAGTCCATAAGCATCATTACGTCACACAATGACTTTGGTACTCCTTTTTACCAGCATGGAAGGTTGATGCTGATTGTCTGTAAAAAATACATGCCCTTGGACTATGGCATGTCTAAAAATCCTACCCTATATATCATTATTTAACCCCTGACTTGGTTGTTATGCATTTGTTGTAGGCTAGACGAGCATCATCGAAGCGGGAGACTCTCCATACAGATTTTCTAACACCTCCAGTGCTAAAGGAATCTATGCAAATTTTGGAAAAATTAGCAGACGTGAAAGCAATTGCTCAAGGAGGTTATCCTCAGGTAAATATTCAGATAAATGCTTTCCAGTCCCTCCATACTAAAGTTATTTGAATTTTTGTGTAGATGTATCACTTGTATTCTCTATAGGCTGAACGCTGTCGGATTTCAGTTGGACATCCAGAAGAACTGACTAGTGATCCAGATGTTATTTCAGCATTAAGGTAAATCTTCTAATTTCATTACTAAAAGTTTTCAAGCTCATTAGATCCAATAATGTTTCTAGAAGTGTGCTAATAGTTACATAAAATTACTTCAGCATTAAAGGGAACTTCCAGTTTGAACCTTGCTCACATGGTGACTTCCTTGGCTCAATTCTTGGTACAGGAATTGTCAGGGAGAAACTTGGGGATATTATATTGCAGGTATTTCTTCAATTAAATTTATTTCAGGAAGGTTCTGTTTAAAACCTTGCTATGTTCACATGAGTGCTAAGGTTGTTGTGTAGACATTTTTAGCTTCTAATGGACTTGCTGTTCATAGTACGTCATAATCTGGAATTTGTTACGTTACTTTTTCGTCTTATGGTTTTTATACTTGCTGATTTTGTTCTAATTTCCCTGTTTTCTCTTGTCCTGTACATACTAAAAGATTTTTTTGTCTAATCTGCTCTTATCTCTAAGTTGATGACTTCTCTTTGTTGTTTGATGAGTCAATATTTTTATTATCTTTCTACTTGTATCAATAGAGTGCATTTAATAGGAAGATTATTCTTACGATGGATCCAAACTGAATCAAATCAGTGTCCAAAAAGAAAAGAGTCAAATCTGTCAAGAAAACAATATTAAGAAGTGTGACATTTGTAGCTCTTGTTTGCTTTCATTTTGAGTTTTATTTTACCATTTTGTTCTGTTTGACTTTACAGTGTGCATGTACAGCAGCCTATACATATTTTAGGAAACTTAGACTTTGTTATCTTTGTTATCCAGGGAGAACAGGGTGCGCAAATTATTGTTGTGCCAGAACTGGTTGAATTTCTTATGTCAACCTTGGTTAAGGTAGCTTTTTACAGTTTACTTTTCTAGTTAAAAATCTAATTCTCAGAAGGAATAGTTGTGATTGTAATAGTTAATATTTGATTGCCATTGATGTGGATATGAACGTTGTTTCCAAAAATCTATGATAGTAGTATGGCAGAATGTTAAAAAATGAAATATTACAGAATTATTTATATTCATATAGATAATATTTCTTAAGTTCATTTATAAGAATAATATATATCCATTCCAAAAATATCTAGGCTAACAAGTTGAAATATTTTGGTGTGTTTCAGGGCCAATTTTTATGTTTGTTTTTGTTTTAGGTTCTAATCCAATACAACTTAGAAATAATAACTAAAAAGATATTAGAGAAATCTTAAATAGCATTCTGACTGCTTTCTTGTTATTCAGGTTCGTAATGTTCCTGTAACTTGCACCAAGATACCATTAATTTCTCTTGATTATGAACCACCAAGGTGCAGTATTAAACTGAGCTCAACTTCACTTGACATTTGTGTCAGTTAGACTCTTACTGAATTTGTTTATTGTGCAGAACAAAATCATTCAAAACTATAGAAGCATCGCTAAGAGTTGATGCACTTGCTAGTGCCGGATTTAAGATATCACGCTCAAAGCTAGTTGAGATGATAAGGTTGGTAATCTCGGACTTAACTTAAGTAATATCTCATCTGTCAATTATCTGTAATTTGTTGGTTGCCTACAATACACTTATGAACATTGCAAAGATTTATGCATGGCTTCCTCTTCCCCTTTCTTTCAATGTTGCCATTATCCACAAATGTACTCATGTTCTTGCAACTAAAACTGCTTGAACTTTAGCAGCTATTTTGGCATATAATCTGATGAGAAATCAATAAAGACCATTCTGATATTTATTTTTTTTTTTGGGAAAGGATATTGACATCACACTAAGAAAGAGAGAATATGAGTGATAAGTCATGAAATTAATCATTACAGGTTACCCTCATAAGATTAAATTTGACTTCTTATAACTTAGAATTCCAAAAAGCTTATCATAAAGAGAAATCTCATTTTCTGTCAAAAAGGATAGTATCAGAACCTATGTGTATAGTCTATATAGTTTAGCACTCCACTTGAAACAAATCATATTAATCAAATATGGACATTTTGAGAAATGAACATTTAGCATGGCTTGCTCTTGATGACAAGACCTTGGTTAGATACAATAACTGTGTTCTAAATATGCTTGTAGCAATGGTGATGTGCGTGTCAACTGGATCCCTGTTACTACCAAAGGAAACACACTGAAGAGTGGAGATATTGTATCAGTCAGTGGAAAGGGAAGATTAAAGGTAACTTGCCAAAACTTAAAATAATTATTGGATTATCTGAATGATTTTGGCTATATTAGTTGGTAATGTTTCACTTCATCTGGGACCAGATAGGAGAAATAAACTCTACAAAGAAAGGAAAATTTGCAGTGGAGCTCATTCGGTATTTGTAGAAGTTCTGAAGACATTTCTGTAGGAAGCTTTAGCCTCATGTAAGTAAAACTGGAGAGAGGCAAAAGTTGTACAGAGTAATATTATTATTCCCTCCATTTCAAGATTATTGATGTTCATCTTAAACCAAGAGCTGTGATTTGTATCTGATAGTGATCTTATTCAGTAATATCAGCCCAAACGATTTCTTGTTCTGAATTGAGACCATGTAGCATAGAGGGATATGCCATTTGCTGATAAACTACAATATTTTATAGAGAAATTAAAATCATTTATGACAAAATATTTTATTTGGATAAGAAGTTTTAAGTCAAATATAAATTTTAGAATTTTATACTAGTAATTGTATTATTTAATATTAATATTTGGACAACAATCTTTGACTGAAAAAATAACATAACAAAGATAATTAATATTAATTTTTTTAATTATTAACAATAGTTTAATACTTAAATATTTTTACACGTACCTGGAATACTTTGTTTAAATAAGTAAATTAAAATTCAATAAATTTGAATTATTTCACCAAACTAAATATTTTGAAAATAAATAATTCCAAATAAAATATTTAAAAAATCCAACGATATGAAAAACTGAAAACAGTGTAAGGTTGAGAATGTAAACCTTTCCTTGCAGGTCTAGTAGCTTAAATGATGGCACTCAAATCGTGTCCCCTCTTCACAGTCATTTTCTATTACTTCTTCGTTATCATCAACACATTCATAAGAAAAACAATTATAAAAGTAGAGAAGAAAAAAAATTAGTAAATTCATTAGAAAACAAATTGTTGTAAATTAAAAATTAAACCATTAAAAAACTTCGTTGATCTTTGTATTTGTTGAAAAAGTCTTAACTTTTCCCATATTTTGATTAGTCTCAATTAAATTTATATTTTTTAAAATGTGTAATAATTAAATCATTTTCATTGATATTATATTAACAGTCAAAAATATGTGTCACTTCATAAGTTTTTTTTTAATTTTACTTTGTTTTAGTCTTTTTAATTATTATTATTACGTTATTTTTAAAAAATTATTTTATCACGAATCAATATTAAGTCATGTGTGTCAAGTCAATCATAATAGTTTATATATTTATTATTTTAATTTTATTCATAATGGTTTATATATTTGTTATTTTGATTTTATTCATCCTCATTTTTTTTTAATTTTCAATTTCATCTCTTTTCAAATTAAGTAAAATTGGACTTTTATGTAAATGTTATAAAGATAATTTTATTAAATATTTTTAATAATATTAAATTTATTTAAATTTATATTTCACATTAAATTTTATTTAAAATTTGTTAAAATTTTTAAATATATTTATTTCAAATTGTTATAAAATTATTTTAAAATTTTACATTTAAATTTATAAAATTATTATTTTTAAACTATTTATAACATTTGTATAGAAATTATTAATATGTAATATTATACAAATATTTAAAATATAAATTTAATAAACTTCAATGTAAAATATAAATTTAAATAAACTTAATCTTATTTAAAATATTTAATAAACATATCTTCAAAATATTTATACTAAAGTTAAATTTGATCTTTTAAAGGTAAAATTGTTCACATAAAACCATAAATGAAATTGAATTGAATCAAAATAATAATTATAATACTAATTTGAAATGTGAAAAAAAAAATAGAAGTAGATTAAAAATTAAAAATTAAAAAGAAAATAAAAGAATCACAACTGACACATAACCCATATTTAATAGCACCTACATTTACCATTGATAGTATAATACTAGCAGAAAAACTTAATTATTACATATTTTCAAAAATAGAAATTCAATTAAGACAATAAAAATATAAAGACTTAAAAATTTTCAAAACAACTATAACTAACAGACTGTTTAACCCAAGAAAATCTTAAAGGTGAGATAATTTCATAATTCTCCAAATTCTAACTAGGCCCATGATATAAATTGTATACAATAGATTGTACAAAGTGCATAATCAATCACCTATAAACTCTGGGCTCTTAGGTACATTCAATCTTTTCATCAAATGTATTGATCATGGAGCTAGGAGAAAATGAGTAGGGAATTTACCATCAAGTAGACTACATTTAAATCTAGAAAAACGGAAAAGGAAACGATTCAATTATATTACCTAAAAAAGGAAACGATTCAATTAGAATAAATGGTATGATACATTAATTCCAAAACTCCACACTTATTTGTAGCATTGCCGTAAAAGAGAGGTAAAAAGGTTCCTCAAAAATCTCATTTTACCATCTATACTCAGAAAACATGAAAACCAGCTCTTTTTAATCAGTAACGATAAATGGATCCACATCCCCTAGCTCCGCAACCAATGGTTTCAAATTATCAGTATCTTCGTCTTCTGGGCCAAAGTAAGTTGGGAAAGGAAGCAGAGATATGTCAGGTTTTTTGTATACAGCATCTTTTATAAAAACAAAGTTCCCTGTAGCTCCTGGGACCTGTTGTGCACATCATACAAAGAGAAATAAGTCATCGCTAATGAAGCCAAAATCCAATTTTTTTAGTGACTTAATAGACAACTGTGAACCATAAAGCTGCAAATCACCACAAAATTTGCGCAAGTAATATGGATAAACATCAAATTAAAATTTCTGTATCAGTATTGCTATGTGAATTGATTCTATTTGAATTTTCAGGAAAACATTTATAGCATCAACGCCATGTCTGATGTTCAGATATTTTTTACCCTTAGGCTCTAATATGAATGTCATAAATATAGAAAAAAGAATTTACCTGGCCTTTCACCCACATCAAATTCCTTGCTGGATCAACTTTATAGACCCATACACTTTTAACAGTTCTTTGTTCTCCACCCATTCGCCCAGCCATCTTTTTACCTTTAAAAACCTGAAGGGTAATATAAAGCGTGTTTAAATCAATCATCGAGCAAAAATTATTGTAACCGAATTACTAACTTAAGATTAAAAACAAAGAAATATATTTTCAAGGGCTTTAAGAGAATCCTCTCATAATCTTCTATTTATAATCAAAAACTGATTCAATAGTACATGAAAGATTAAGGGACTGTATTAGACACTTAGGTACAGAACTAGGTACGGCTATTATAAGTACAATTAAAAACTAGGTTTAAAAACCTGAAGGGTAATATAAAGCATGTTTAAATCAATCTTCGAGCAAAAATTATTGTAACCGAATTACTAACTCAAGATTAAAAACAGAGAAATATATTTTCAAGGGCTTTAAGAGATTCCTCTCATAATCTTCTATTTATAATGAAAAACTGATCAATAGTACATAGAAGATTAAGGGACTGTACTAGACACTCAAGTGCAGAATTAGGTACGGCTATAAGTAAAATTAATAGATTGTCTAACACACTACACCCTACTTAGGCTTAATGATGATAATTATTCTAACAAATTTATTCAAGGAACTAAACAAACATATTGATCTAAAAGAGCACAACTTACCCTTCCCGGACCAGTTATATGACCAACAGAACCAGCGCTTCGATGGGACAATGAAGCACCATGGGATGCTGGACCTCCCTTAAATCCATGCCGCTTCATCACACCCTGGAAACAAAAATGATATTTAAAATTGACACTTACGATTTGAAGAGATCCACAAAACTGGAGGACCATTTTAGTGCCTTTTTTACTCACATTGAAGGATTCTCCGCAAGTACACAGAAAATATAAATAAAAGGAAAACAACATGATAATACACAGAAACAAAGCGCAGATACATCTATAAACATCCATACATGCACAAAGTAATATACTTCTAAAGAAAAAAAGATAAAAACAATATTTAACATGAAGGAAAGGGAAAAACACCTGAAAACCTTTTCCTTTGGTTATTCCAGTGACATCAACATACTGGCCGGGAACAAAATGGCGAACATTAAGTGATGCTCCAACAGGAAGAAGTGCATCCTCTGTCACTGGAAACTCCTTAAGCTTTCTCTTCATTGGAACTCCTTGCGCCCTAAAATGACCAACTTCAGGCTTAGTCAAATGTTTTTCCTTCTTATGTCCACAACCAATCTAACTAGAAACAAAACAGCAAAAAAAGTCTATAATTAGATACATTCAAACGCTTAAAAACATCACTGTAAAAACCATGGCATAGCTAAATGGACCACACCACAAAATATTCAAACTGTTTAAACAGTTTAATAACCCAAACCCGTTTTCTTAAACCAGTTCATTATATTGACCCAGCTTTCAATCCAATTTGTTTATTTGGTTCTAAGCTGCAAACAGACCCAAAACAATCTAACGATCTTTAATGAACAGTAGCACAACTGTCAGTAATGACTGCACCAACTTGAATATTGGCTTATTTTAATTATCATTTCTGTCCATCCTAGTGCATTAAACTGCAGTTGTTCATGTACATCTATTCATAGAACTCCACCAAGAATGTACACTATCTAAAAAATTGAGACTTAGACTGGCTATTAATTTTCCTATCATTTCTTTGAGATTATAAGGCACCACAAGTCCATAAAGTTGTTGCTTATGTAAATCCGGGGAAAAGTGAACCACAGACATATGGTTGTTACCATTCTGTACAAACTTAATGTTACGCAGGTGAACCTTAAATTCCAAGTACAGACAACAAATACACTAGAAGAAAAAAACAGGTTTTAGAATGAATAACTAGAAGGGAAGAGAGGTGTACCTGGAGAGAACAAAAACCTTCTTTCTCTGGGGTCTTAACCTGAGACACAATGTTATCATCCACCCAAAGCACAGTGATTGGGATTCTAGCACCCCATTTATCCCAAAGCGCACTCATTCCACATTTAACCGCTATAAGCCCAGTTCGCTTGGAATCAGGGGTCATCAAACCAGGTTTTGGATCAATAATCCGAGTCTGAATCTCTGCATCAGAACTAAGAAATCGGAGCGGTGAGGGTGAATTGACGGCAAAGCGCTGCAAACGGGAAACAAAGCCTCTCGAAAATGCAAGCATGGCAGAGCTACAGAAACAGAAAGAGAAACAGATCTGCGTAAAACAAAGTGAATCAACATGCTAAGAACACATGTTATTAATCTTGTCACCACCACTTGTTGATGTATAGAAATTACATGTGAAGTACATTCAATCATCACAAACATATCCATGGATAGAAATTACACTGAGGAAAACAGAAGTAAAAGGAGATAATTTACTCTCTTTACCCCTGCACTGTTTAACATAACTGTATCCCTTCTGCGTGTAGTAAAGAAAATATTTGGTCAAGGAAACTGTATATGACATTATACAACTCAAAATGTATCCAGGGGGTGTAGGAAATGACTCTGATCAGATACACCAAAAACTGAAGTCTAAACAGGACACTACTTCCCTTTCAAAGTTACCAAACCACTCCCAACTTACAACATAGTGTTATCTTACATATTCGATGAACAAACTTTGTCAAGTAGAAGGTCAGGTGTTCACTTATGCACATATAAACCCCAAAGCAAGATGCATTAATTCTCAGCTTAATGGAAACTTCATAACGTGGGACTGTATTGGGTGGTTTATTGTCCAAGTCCTAGAATAGCCCGACCCTATTTAAATTCTCGTTTGAATTCAATTTCTGATTTTTAACCCATTCTGATCAAAATTATAATATCTCAAGCCATCGTATATAGCCCGCACTGATGGACGAAGCTCCCAGAAGAGGACCGAACGAAATAGTGCAAACGCGAATAAGGCTCCTTGAAGCTTCCTCGACGAGTAAGAGCGCAGCGGAAAGAACTAAAACTTGAAATTGAGAGAGAAATCGAAGACGAAGAAGAAACAGACCGCGGACCTTATGAGAATCCCTAAGTTCAAAGGAAGCGCGGAATCGAGAATGAAAGCACCAAAACAGAGACCGGACTCTCAGAAACCCTAGGAAAGGGGAGAAACTCAAAATGAACTGATTAATCAGTTCAAACGCAAGATTAAACGATGGAAGGTTTAATCGGTGCAAATGAGGCTTTCATCAGTCATATTTGAAGAACAAAGGATGGAAAGGTGTTTAAACAGAAGAAATCGAAGATTGAACAATGTAAATGGTGGAAGAAAATACCTAAAGGATGAAGGAACCCTAGAATGAAGATGTTCGGTGGAAAATCTTGAATGAAGAGGAATGAGGTGCAGTTTGCAGAGATGCTAGGGTTTGGAGATGTGGATGACTCGTGAAGCAGAGGAAATGAGATATGTGGCTTGCATTGAAGATGGGTATTTATAGTGACCCCTACTTCATCCAAGCTAAAATAAACGTACACAATAAAGCATAAAAATACAACTAGAGGACATTGAGCATGCATCTTCGTAAGTTGCATTACATGTATCAATCTGATTACATTTTCTGCACTTTCATTTCTTAATCCTCCATTGCCATTTCGATTCAACCTTCTGCTCCGGAATTGCATGCATGCAACATAGATAAACACAACAACAACTTACAATGGATCAATCACCATGCACGAGAGGATCTTTGTCATCTAGCATTGGGGACGCTTCAGAGCTTGAGGCCAATCTCACACTCAGTGATAGGATCAAGGTTTTCAAAAGCTCCTCCTTTGATCCCAATAGCCATGTCGCCTCCAAATCCCACACCATGAACGAAAAGGAGAAAAGACACTTGTGCTCTTATCTTATTGACCTGAAGAAGGCTTCAGCAGAAGAAATGCGTAAAAGTGTTCTTGCTAACTACTTAGCCTTCATACGTACGTCCAAAGGGATATCTGATCTTGAGGGAGAGTTGGTTTCCATGAGAAATCTTCTATCCACCCAGGCTGCTTTGGTTCATGGTTTAGCAGATGGGTGCGAACTTAGTCCCATGATTAGTGGAAATGAAGATTTAGACATGGATGATATACTAGATGAAAAAACCGAACTATCCAACACAGAAAAATGGCTAATAGGATATTTAGAAACCCTTGAGGTTCTATTAGCGGAGAAAAGAGTGGATGAAGCAATGACTGCTTTGGAAGAAGGAGAAAAAATGGTACAAGAAATTACTCAAGTGGGAACTTTAAGCCCAATTTTATTTGAGGCATTGCAAGATGCTATTGCTGAACACAGAAAAAAACTAGCAGATCAACTAGCAGAGACTATCTGCCAGCCATCAACTAGCAGTGCAGAGACTCGATCAACAGCGTTGTCATTGAAAAAACTTGGGGATGGTTCTCGTGCTCACACATTACTACTAAGTTCTCGCCAAGGAACATTACAACGTACCATGAAAATCCTTCAATCCAGCAATTATGGTGGGGTTGGGTCATTTACTGCTTCCCTTTCACAGCTTGTTTGTTCCACCATTTCACAAGTAGCATCAGATTCTCTGTCAGTGTTTTCTGAAGAACTTGGCTCTGCTCGGACAGTATTCCATCAAGCACGTATCTTCTACTGAGAAGGAGTGCTAAGAAATCCTGAACATTTTGAAAGGGTTCTCTGTTCTTTTATAAATAAAATAGCTTTTAAAAGTAACCATCGAGTCCAATGACGTTTCATTGAACATGAAAGAGTAATGGAGCACCCAACCGGTCAAAGCGGGAGAAGTAGAATTAGGTTGGGGAGGGAAGGGGTTAAAAAGAGAGAGAGCAGCGAAGGTGACGGTGCAGTGAGGAAGTGCATGGTTGGGGCATTTCGTCGAACAGTTACTTGGCGAAATAGGAGGGCCTTTAAGAACAGTCCTCCTAATTCTCCTAATAAAACACATTCAACACAATAATATTGGCTTAAAACAAACAACACAACACCTTAGAAAATACGAACAAACCTCACGACACCTACCAAAAAGAGAAAGAAAACAAGTGATTTCATACAACCATAACAACAATTCATACAAAAGTTAACTCCTCTTACCTTACAACCAAGCGAAAGAATCCTTGTTTTACTCTACCTTCACCCACAAACCATAGCTTTGGCAAACCTTGAATCTCTTCCTCTCAAACCACTCTTCACAGCAGCGAACCTATTGTTTATACCCTTAGAAGAGGCTTAAACCCCTCTGCATCACGAAAATAAAAATTACATTCACTCACCATTTTGGGCTTTTAATAAAATTAGAGAAAAGAGAAAGAAAGAAAGAAAAAAACTTATTTTTTATGGTTTTGGACCACTGCCTCACCAGACTACCCAAACTGGGTCACAACTAGCCCATCCCAAGTGACGAACAACATAAGGCCCAATAACGTTAATTAAGGGTGTTTCATCCTGGGTGTTACTCCTTCACCACCACATTTTCTTCCTCCACCTCCCCAATTCTATTACATATTTTTTGAATTATAAAATTAATCTTTTATAATTACAAAAATAACCTTTATACTTTTTAATCCTAATTATTTACTTTAACCCTAAAATCTATCTTTTTATCCCTTCTCACCCACCTCCCAACCTTCTCATATTCTCACCCAAACTCCATCATTCTCATCTTCCATTTTTCCTCCATATCAGTTTTCTTCCTCCTTCAGTGGTGGGCGGTGTGCGGCGCGACAGTGCAACGGTGCGGCGGTGTAGCGCGGCGGTGCGACGGTGGTGCGACAGTGAAGTGTGGCGGTGCGTTCTCCCACAAGGTTAGTGATGATATTTTTAAATGCAATGCATATATCTTTGTTGTGTGCTGGGCTGCTCTGCGTTTTTTTGCTGTGTGTGCGTGTGTTGGGAGAAAGGAAGAAGATAACCAGAAAAAACGGAGGTCGGGTATCCGTTTTGATCTGAAACGGATGTCGAGATCCGTCGACGGATGTCGACATCCGTTTCAGATCCAAACGGATACCCGACATCCGTTTTTTGCCTGTAGTTTTTTAAACTTTTAAAGTTTATTATTAGTTTTTATTTTAATTTTTTATTTTCAATTAATTTGTTATGTAATTATTATATTTTTATCTTTTTTACTTTATTAATTTATTATATTTTAAATTAATTTATAGAATATTTAAATTTAGTGTTTTTTTCTAATTTTTTATTTATTTATATCTAAATTTAAATTATTTTATTTAATGAAATAATTATTATTAAATTAATAAAAAAATAGTATTAATTAATGAAATAATTATTAATTTAATTAAAAATATTTTTGTCAGAAATGGTAAGAACACGAGGTTCATCTTTTAGTTCTCGTGGAGAGAGTTCTAGAGGAGAAAGTTCTCGAGGAGAGAGTTTTGCACAGGGTGAAGGTAGGAGACGACCTACAGCTTCAGCTCGGAGAAGACTTGCAGCTACAATTCAGGATGACCTATAGTCGAGGACCGAACGTTTGAGGAGGAGGCATATCAGGCCTATGAGGGTCCTGTTCACGAGGAGGCATTTGAGGCTCCTCATGACGATAATGAGGAGGAGGAACATGTCGATGTTCCTGACATACAGGAGGAGGATGTCGGTGGATTTCCTGGAAGTCCACGTGATGCTTCATTGCTGACACACTATGTTCAGCATGTTGCATACGGCATTTCGCAGGGCCGGGTGAGTGCATAACTTAAATTTTAATTATTAAGTTTTTTTCGAATACAATTGATATTACATATTGTTGTGTAGGATCGAGGGGAGATACTGAAGTTGATCTCCCATGGTAAAAAAATTAATAAGTTAGGACTGTGCGCCGAAGGAATTCAACACATTGTGTTGAATTCCGCTTTGATGCCTCTCACAGATATTTGCTATGATTACGTTGATAAGGGCTTGTTGCTCGGTTTCATAGAGAGATGACACTTTGAGACGAGTAGTTTCCATCTCCCTATAGGGGAGATGTCGATCACTCTTGACGATGTCTCAAGTTTACTTCACCTTCCGGTACTGGAACAATTATGTGATTTGGAGGAGTTGGAGTTTGAGGAGGCTCGTACAACCCTTGTAGAACTGCTCGGCGTTGATGGTGGCGCAGCTGGTGCTGAGATGGAGGATGCACGTGGTCCGAAAGTCAGACTCAGCTGGCTAAGAGAGATATATGTTCAGAGGTGTTAGTCGCAGCAGTGGGACTATGCTGCCAGAGCATATTTGTTGCATCTAGTAGGATGCACGATTTTCGCAAATAAAAGTGCCACTTCTATACGTGTTTCTTACCTTCTATTATTTAGAGATGTACACGCGTGTGGTAGATATGCTTGGGGTGTTGCTGCACTCGCCCATTTGTACGACCAGCTCAGGGATGCGAGTTTGGCTTCCACGAAGCAGACGGCTGGATTTCTGACTTTGTGTCAGGTACAGACATATACTCTTCACATTTATTTGATGTACTTATTTCGATGTTCAAAGAAGAAAGATATTTAATTGAATAATTGCATTTTTAGAGTTGAATATACGAGCATTTCCCTACGATGGGAAGGAGGCGGTTGGTGTCTTCTTATGATGAGACCACACCATGTGCGGCTAGGTGGCAGAGCCCTCGGCAGAGTTCGACTCTTGCAGAGATTCGGTCGCAGTTGGATGGCCTGACATACAGTGGAGTTGTATGGAATCCATATGAGGGACATCGGAGCATTCATCCATTCTTTGGCATTTGTATGTATTCTAGATGGATTTGGATTGGTGACACCCTTTCCCGTCATTTGCCTGAGCGTGTGATGAGGCGTTTTGGGTTATACCAGGAGATTCCACGACCACCCACTGCTGTTGCAGATGCAGATGTAGTCGCTGTTGATTATGCGTGTTTGCAGTTCATGTATCACGTTATTATGAATGTGAGACAAGCATCATACCCTTATGAATTTGTCGATGGATACATACAGTGGTTTAGGAGGGTTTCACATCCCTATATTATTCTTGCTCCACCTGATGCGAGACCGACTCTTGCGCCTACACAGTGTCCCAATGTTCCACAGGAGGCACGGCCCCATCGTAGATCCTCTCCACCTTCACCATCTGGCGTCGTGGTATGCTATTTTTCATTGCTTATGTTATTAAATTTTCTTAACCATGTTTAT